ATCTTTACAGTAGCCACACTGTAGAAATAAAGAGAAAACACATGAATTGACACTTATTAAAAAATGCTAAATTTGCCGGGTGTGGTGGCGCACACCTTTAATCCCAGCACTCGGGAGGCAGAGTCAGGTGGATCTCTGTGAGTTCAAGGCCAGCCTGGTCTACACAGTGAGTTTCAGGCCAGCTGGGGCTACAGGGAGACCCTATCTCAAAAAGACCAAAAAAAAAAAAAAAAAAAACAAAACAAAAAAAAAAAAAAAAAAAAACGAAACAAAAAAAAACAAACAAAACAATACTAAACTAAATTTAGGCTAGGCATGATGGTACACTCCTTTAATTCCAGCACTCAGGAGGCAGTAGCAGGCAGAGCTCTGTGAGATTGAGGCCAGACTGGTCAGTATAACAAGTTCTACGTCAACTATGGCTACCCATCTCAAAAAGAACCCCTACCCCCAAATACTAAATTAGGGGCTGACAGCTGGCTCAGCGTTGGAGTACTTGATGTTCTCTTATTGCTCTGACAGAAGACGAGAGTTCAGTTCCCAGCACCCAGGTCAGGTGGCTCACAACCACCTGTAACTCTAGCTCCAGGAGATCTGATGCTCTCTTCCAGCCTGGTGGGCACTTGCACAGATATGCACAGATACACATATTTAAAAAAAAAAAATGAAATTAGATAAAATGCCAGGGTATTATGATAAATAAGAGAAAAATCAGAGGAAAAATCTGAGAGTCTTTCATGAAAACAAAGACTTAGAATAGGTGTAATGTTAGGAATGCTGTCAAACAATCTGTTCATTCCAAAGAAAATCTTTGATTAGACCTTTAAATATGTTGGTAAAAAAGTTGCCTGTATTAATTACTTTACTTTTTATTACCTTCTGAGGGATCTCTTTAGTCAGCAATGTTTTTTAATTAATCAGACTTATTATTTTTATTTTATGTATATCAGTGTTTTGCCTGCACCTATGCAAGTGTACCCAGGTCATGCAATGCCTGTGGAGACCAGAAGAGAGTGTCAGAGCCCCTAGAACTGGAATTACAGGTAGTTGTTAGCTGTCATGTGAGTGCTGGGAATTGAACCTGGGTCCTCTGCAAGAACAGCCAGAGCTCTTAACCACTGACCCATCTCTCCAGCCCCAATAATATTGCTTATATAATACAATGAGCAGATCAGTTCACATTCTATTCAACATGGACAATTCAGGGTTGGAGTGACTGCTGGATAGCTCTATAATACCACCTGCCAATGAACAAAAAGCCGAGGAGCTATGGTGAGCTAAGCTCTAATTTTCAAGTTCTCTCCAGGAGCACCACAGATGCAGACCAGAAGACAATCAAGATTCTAATGACTACTTTCACTTTTTCAAAAAAAGTCCCTGTTCAAATGAGGAACATACTGTTTCATTATACACATGTATACATATAGTGCAAATGTCAGCGACTACCATCTAGGCTACTGCCTGTTTTGGGAAATAAACTTTTTTTTTTTTTTTTTGGTCTTTTTGAGACAGGGTCTCCCTGTAGCCCCAGCTGTCCTGGAACTCACTATGTAGACCAGGTTGGCTTTTGAACTCACAGAGATCCTCTGCCTCCCAAGTGCTGGGATTAAAGGCTGAGTGCTGGGATTAAAGGCGTGTGCCACCGCGCCCGGCCGGAAATAAACCTTTTTAACTCACAGAGATCTGTCTCTTCCTCCCAAGTGCTGAGATTAAAGGTATGTGCTAATACATTCAGCACAGGAAACAAACTTGATTGGACATAGGCATATTCATTGTTTATGAATCATCTGACATTCATATGTCATTACTTGTGCTCTGGGATCATTCATGAAAGACGCCATATATATATATAAATTTTGAGACAGAGTCTCACCTGTCTCATGTAGCCCAGGCTCATCTAAAACTCAAAATGCTTCTATACTACTTTGGATAATAAGAGCAAAGTTTAGTTGCAACAGAAATTTTTTTAATGTTTTATTATTTTTATTTTATGTGTATGTGTGTATTGCCTGCACGTATATGAATGCATCTGTGTCCTGCAATGCCGCGGAGGTCAGAAGAGGGCTTCAGATTTCCCTAGAACTGGAGTTAAGGACAGTTCGTAGCCGCCATGTGGGTTCTGGGACTTGAACCCGGTTCTTCTGCAAGAGCAGTCAGTGCTCTTAACCACTGGGCTATCTCTCCAGCCCCTTCAACAGAAACTTTATGATTTGAAAATTTTAAATTATGCACTACCTAATCCTTAGGCTTAGTTAGGCTTGGGCCTTGATAGAACACAACCTTGAAACCTTCTCATTGTGGAATGACAACCACAGAAAGTCCACACTACAAAGGAAGTGGGAGCAACACCAGCGCAGTTAAGGAAGTAGGTTCTTATTCGGAAGAACTTTCACTGCTCCACAAGTGAGTGCTCACAAATAAGAAAAGGAATGAGGGCTGGGTGTGGTGGTGCATGCCTTTAACCCCAGCAGAGGCAGAGACAGGCCAGCCTGGTCTCTGTAGTGAATCCAGGCCAGCTGCAGCTACAGGGAGGCCCTGTCTCAAAAAGACCAAAAGAAAAGGAAAAGGAATGAAGAAAATGTGACACCGTTCGCCCTAAAATTACAGTGTTTTGAAAAATCTCCTTTTCTCCTTTTAGTAGCGCAGAACCTATAGGTAAAAGATAAATGTGTCATCAGAAACCAAGTAAGTTTTTCCCATCTTGTGCTAAAAACAGGTTTCTCTTACCTCAATGAAATCTGCTCGAGCTGGCATGTACCCTGCCATATCCCGGGAAAGCAAAGAGTCAAAGGCAGGACGGGGAGGGTCATCTGCAGCTGGAAGGAAGAATGGGTTTTTCATATTAATAAAATGTTAACATGAAAATGTCAAATGCACTTACATTCTGGATTTTTTAAAAGACTTTTTTTGAGACAGGGTCTTCCTGTAGCCCCAGCTGTCCTGGAACTCACTATGTAGACCAGGCTGGCCTTGAACTCACAGAGATCTGCCTGCCTCTGCCTCCCGAGTGCTGGGATTAAAGTTGTGTGCCACCACACCCGGCAAAAGACTTATTTTTAAGGCTGGGTGTGGTAGTGCACACCTCTAACTCCAGCACTCGGGAGGCAGAGGCAGGCAGATCTCTCTGAGATTGAGGCCAGCTTGGTCTACATAGTGAGTTCAGGGCCAGCTGGGGTTACATAGTGAGACCCTGTCTCAAAAGGGTTTTATAAAGCAAAAAGTGTATGAATGGCTTCTTTTGGCCATTTTCTTTTGTGTTGAGACAGAGTACCTCAAACTTGCTATAGATCCTACACTAGTCTCAAACTCAGAATCCTCCTACCTCAGCCTCCTACGTGGTATCGGTGGGATTACAGGCATGTGCTACCACACCCACCAAGCCCCAGAATGACTTCCTAAAAAGGGAAATTAAGACTGAAGGAATCCTTTTAAAAAAAAAAAAAAAAAAAAAACTCTGGTTTTAAAAAACTGGTGCAATGGTGTGCATGTGGAATTCAGAGGACAATCTTCAGGAGTGCTCTGTCCTTCTACCACATGGGTCTCAGGGACTGAATTCAGGTTGTCAGGATTAGCAGCAGGTGCCATCTCCGTGGCTCAGCCCTCTGATTTTAGCATTCCCCAAATGAAAGGAAACCAAAGATCTTTTCTTTCAATAATGTTAAGAGCCCAAGTATTTATCTTATTAGCTTCAGATCCCTTGACCCTTAGGACCACCAACATCAATTTACAAATCTTATCCAAGAGATGTAAAACACTGGATTTGGAAGTAAAGCTTACAACAGTTCTACAACCATGCACAAATGGTCTAACTTTTTAGTCTCAGTTTCCTTATGCTTAACACAAACACATCCATTCTGTTTATTCCTCTGGGTTGCTGTTAGAAACAAATGAGTCTAATGGATTTGAAGGAAGTGCTAACATTCAAAGTGCTATCTAAATAGGAGATATCAGCAGCTTCTGAAGAAGTCTGCTACAAAGCTGCTTCTAGGAAGCATGAGGAAAGGGCAGGCGGAAGGGAAAACATTCATATGTCATTACTTGTGCTCTGGGATCATTCATCAAAAAGTCCATTTATAATTCATCATGTTTTGGTTACATTTTAGCAAAAGACCCACTGATCCCATAGGCATGAAAATGGAGTTTGCCTTCATTGCCATAACCAAGTGAACAAGAATAACAAATTGCTCTTAGGGCTTGATATTGAGGCAATATTGAACCCTGGTAAGCAACTCCTATTGTTGATTATAATCCATCAAAAGGGATGGTAAAAAGGTTTACACTCCTGACAGTATAGATAGCCTGGCCCATTTTGGACGTCACATCTTACAAAAGCAATGTTAACATTAACAAATTCTAAGGGATCCAGAGTGGGTGGCTACAATTCTGCCCTCTGGGATGTGCTCTTTCCTTGCCATATGCCTTGACTCAAGCTTATCTTCCACAAGCACTTTATCTGTCTAAGTCATCAAATCACTGTTTATCTGCTATGGAAACAGGGTCCAAGGATGGGCTAAGTATCTCTTACCCAAATAGGCAGGCACTTACAGTGAAATGGAATGGCTGTGTCAGCAGTTTTGGCTTCCTCAGCTTGTTTCAGGTTTAGCAGGGTGGATGCAAACAGAGGGTTATTGATGAAATGCTTCATGTAGTGCTTCTCACACTCCTCCTTGGTCTTGGTGCACATCTGATTAGCTACATCCTGCCTAGAAAAAATGTGGGGAAAAGAGGGAAGAGAGTTCTTTTATTTTTATATAACACTGAAAGCATGATTTTCTCTTTTCACATTTTCAGTCAAATCTATACAGTATCAATAATCCGATACCTCCAAACATGTCTAGGAGATAACAGCAAACTGGTGAGACAAACATGCCCCTGATATTCTGTGATCTCATGTTCCAAATCCTGCTACTCCAAGATATAAAACAGTAAATGGTCCTTTCCTTTTCACTAAAAGGAAGATGACTATAACCACCTTTATTTCCAGGCTGGAGATGTAGGTCAATTGATAAAGTGCCTTCCTAGCATGCATGAAGCCCTAGGTTCAATCTCCAGCACTGCATAAACCATGCATGGTGGCACATACCTGCAATCCTAGCACTTAGAGGGTGTCGGCAGAAGGATCAGAAGTTAAAGTTCATCCTTGGCTACACATTAAGCTCAAAGGCCAGCCTGGGATACAAGATACCCTGATTCAAAATAAATAGCCAGGTGTGGTGGTACATGTCTTTAATCTTAGCACTCAAGAGGCAGAGGCAGGCAGATCTCTGTTAGTCTGAGGTCAGTCAGGTCTACATAGCAAGTTCTAGGCCAGCAAGGGCTACAAAGTGAGACATGGTCTCAAACAAACAAACAAAAAATTCATGCAAATTGTCATGACTTCTATATGTATGCCCCATATACATACACAATAAATATTATTTTTTAAAAATTGTTTAGGGGTATTGGAGAGATAGCTCAGTGGTTAAGAGTACTTCCTGTCTTCCAAAGGACCAGAGTTCAGTTCCCAGCACCCACATCAGGTGTCTCACAACTGCCTGTAACTCCAGTTCCAGGGGATGTGGCACCCTCTTCTGGCCTCCATGGGTATCCTCCCAAGTGGCATGCCTTTCACATAGACACACAAATCTTAAAAATTTCAGAAGATTATCATAACAATAAATCATCTTGGGACATGCAAAATATAGCTTTATTTTTGCATATTTTAAAAAGATTTATTAAAAAATATTTGTGTATTTGAGTGTCTCCTTGTGGGTATGTGCAGGTGAGGTCAGAGGCATTGGCTTTCCATGGAGCTGGAGTTATAGGCAGCCAGACCTGGGTGCTAGGAACCAAATACAGGTCCTCTGGAAGAGCATACACACTCCTAACCACTGAGTCATCTCTCCAGCCCTTATATAGTGTTTTGTAGTTTATATCAACATAACATGTTCATCCTGTTATTTCTAGGTCATCCTAGTCCATCCTAAGTCCTCTCCTCAAGCTAACTCTTGCACAACCCTTCCCCTGCCCTCCTCCTCAGACATCACTACGCTCTGCTTTATGTACATTAATCGTGAACAGTCTGATTTCTATCCTACATAACAAGTTTCTTGAGAGCAGAATGTCTGTCTTAAATCTTCAATTCTTGTGCTCTCACCATTAAGCTTCGTGCCTTAGCCACACCAGATGCAAAAGTAACTGTTATTTCTTCTGTGTGGTGATAGGGATTGAAACTAGCCTGTCATGTGTGCTAAGCAAGAGCTCTAACACTGAGCTACAGCCCCCAAGCCAGTAATAGACATTTTCCTAGTCTTTGCTAAGAGGGAAAAAAGACAGGGAGGGTTAAGCCACTTTAGAGAGAACAACAAACAAAAACTAAAACTTGAGCCAAAGATGACTAGCACACTGTCACAGGTGACCGTTTTTTCCCTTCTTTGGTATTCTCCATAGCAAAAAGTATCTTGTGATGCTAAATGAATGAATATAAACAGGTGACATGAACTCTGGTCTCCTGGACCCTGGCCATAGGGAGGGCAGCATCTTATCTCCTAATAGTACCAGGAAAGTCTGTACATCAGCAAGTCAGGACAGGAGGGATCCAGTAATGGTTCTTCACTAATAAGTTATGTAACGATGAGAAATAATTTAACTCCCTCAGTTTCAGATCCCTGATGAACGAAATGTTATAAATGCCTCTGTTACCTAGTAGTTCACAAAACAAAATTATCAGCGTAAGAGTGTTCCAAAAATGTAAAAACGGGGAACTAGGGAGGTGGCTCAGTGGGTAAAGTGCTTGCTGTGCACTGAATTCAGATCCCTAGCACCCATGTAAAAGCTGGGCATGGTGGCCTGCATCTGTAACTCCACCACTGAGGGGGCAGGTGAATCCCAGAGGCTTGCTGGTCAGCCAGTCTGGCTTAAACTACAAGCTCTAAGTTCAATGAGAGACCCAGTCTCAAAAAACAATGTGGAGAACAACAGAGAGGAAGACACAGGACGTCAACCTCTGACCGCCATGTGTATATGCATGGGCAAAGAAAAAGCCACCCTCCCAGGCACACATATACACTTAAAAACTGAAAGTGGTAGCCTCATAGGGTAATGACAAAGTCTTGCTTAATTCTCCTAAGTTCAAGAAAGGACGTTTGAAAGCCAAAAACAGAAAACACAGGGAAAGCAGGGAAACTTGAGTCTCAGGTAAGCTATGAGCATCCACTTCAAGTTTGATTCACTTAAATAATGAATATGGAACTTATTGCCTAGAAAAATCTGAAAGGGTTTAAAAATAAATCGGTTTATCTGGACCAACTGTATGGCCTTAAACACTAAAAAGTAAAGCATAACCAAAGATTAAATGGGCCAACATAAATTCATAAGAGTCCATATGTATAGCTAAAGGCTACATAACAAGCAACAATGCCAGACAAGCAATACCTTC